CGACGTCTTCCGTCGGCGACGCTACTGATTCGTCTGCTTCTCATTTGAACTCAGAATGTCGATTCCGCCTGGGGCTTCCTCGGTTTCTATCCGGGTGGACGAATCGCTTCGGAAAAGAATCCGAGGGGTGTTCTTCGGCTCGGGTGTCGCGGCGCTTCGGGGTCGGCGCTTCTTCGGTCGATAGATATCGTACGTCGTTTCTTCGGTCGGTTCGCGAAATTTCGTCTTCGGATCGATCGGGCGAACGGATTCGTCGGTCGTCGGAGTCTTCGTCTTCGGTGTCGAGGTTCGTCGGCTTCGTTCGTCGTGGGGTCGTCGCGGCAGGGTTTCGACGGTTGCGGTGGCGGTCGAAGGTGACTTCTGCTTCGGGTCTTCGTTCTTCGGAGGGTTTACGAACGTTCGAAGCTCGCCGTCGTCGCCGTCGTCGTCGTCGCCGTCGTCGTCGTCGCCGTCGTCGTCGTCGTCGCCGCCGCCGCCGTCGCTGTCGCCGGGGCCTGCTCGGGCTGCCGGGGCCGAGGACACCCTGCGCAGCCTGTCGCCCTTGGGCTCCGGGGCGCTGCCGGGCCGCGTGGCCAGGAGGGCCTCGGCCCGCTTGTGGGTCTCGGCCTGCGCCGGGCACGGGGCCGCGGAGCGCGAGACACGGCCGATACACACAGTGGAGTGGATGCCATGACAATGGGCACTCGAACAATCCTCTCATTGAATGGAAAAGGTGCTGAAATGTGTCAAACATGTTCTTAACATGTTTCAGACTTTTTACATGTTTAAAACATATCTGGAACATCATGTAGACATCTGGAATTTATGAGGCAGCACGCGTCCTCTCCATTCATCGACTTCCAAAACAGTAGAGGTCAGTCCACAAGAAACCCTTCACAAGAAACCCAACCCTGAGACCCCAGGACGTCCATTGATCTCTCGCGTGGGAGCGTCACGTCTTCCATCGCAAAACCATCGAACCCCAAAAAACCCACGGCATCCTGGAGGCAAGCAGGGTGTTTCTTGGCATGGGTCTCCTCTGCACGGTGGAAAATACTATGATGAATTCCAGGGGCGTGTCTTCCGTAGATCTCAAGCTCCGCGAGGTGCAGCAGGGTTCCGCTGGCGGCATCGAGACATTCCAGGAATAATAAAAAAGTCTGCGGGGCACCTGGTGGCAGGCTTGTTTCTTGCCCGGTGTGCCCGCTGTAACAGTTGCAAGGATTGTTTTCAAAATGGGGCGCGGCAAGAACATGTCGAATCGAAAACAACTCTTTAGCGCCACGCAAACTCGTCTTAAACAGACGCAGCAGCTACACAGATGGAGGCCGGTCGCCTAGTCACCGCGCAAATTCGCCTCACAGCTCTCCAACAGCTAGACGGATGGAGGGTGAATCCTCAAGGGCCACGCACATGCTTCTGAAAACGTCCCCACAAACTACAATGATGGCAGGAAGCTAAATTCCATACCGCGGTACTCGCTTTAGCGCCGCACACGTCGATTTGCAGGCCTGCAGCAGCTACCCCGACAAAGAGCAGTTCTTTGATCATGTTGGGGCTTTCGCCCGACCCCTCCTCGAATGCTATTGCCTGAAAGTAAATGTACGCACCAACTACACGTCGGTCAGCTCTAAGTGTGTTCATTTCTAATTGTGCTCGTTTCTCATTGTTCCTGGCCCCCTAGTGGCCAGGAAGAGGCCCAGGATAGAAAAATTAGAAATGAAAGGATATTGGCCCCCAAAACAATCAAAGAACCGTCGAAGATTAAGAAATGAACAATGTGTACACGGACGGATGTCAGCTCCTTGTCAAACCACAACTCTTGATTGAACATTCCTCTGCCTGTACGATCAAGCGGTTTGTCATTGCGCACCAGCGGCGTGGTTGTAGGAGGACACCTCTCCAAAGTATGCTTCCGTTGGGCTCTTCCTTGACATTCGTTGCCTCACAGCTGCAAGGATGCACGGATGATGTTGTTCAAAACATGCTCTCGCCTGAATGGCACGCCCGTGTGGCACTCGCTTTGCCAGGGGGCGCTCCCAGTAGAGAAAAGGACTGATTGCAGGATCTTGTGGAAATATAGACAAAAAAAAAGAAGGGGGGCGTCCTGTGCCAAGGGTGCATTGTCACACAAATTTCACAAAACAACCCAACAAGCGTCGTTGATGCTCCTGGCGTTCTCGCCACATCCTCTCCTACTCCTCCCCTGCCTCCTTCCTCCTCCTCCTCCTCCTCCTCCTCCTCTCCTCCTTCCTCCCTCCCCTGCCTCTTCCTTCGCTCGCCGTGTCCCTCTTATCCTCCTCCTCCTCCTCCTCCTCCTCCTCCTCCTCCTCCGTCCTCCTCCTCCTCTCCTCCTCCTCCTCCTCCTGCTTGCCCTCTGTACCCCCGACTTCTGCCCCCCCCCCCCCCCCGGCACAGGGCGGGGGGGAGACGGAGCCCGGGGAGCAGCGCAGCCAGGGCGGGATCGACGCCGCGGGCCTCCGACTCGCCTCGCGGCTGCTGCCGCCGCGGGGCCGCGGTCCTGGAGGCCGCGGGGAGGGAGAGAGGGAGGGAGAGAGAGAGAGAGAGGAGGGAGGGAGGGAGGGAGGGAGAGAGAGAGAGGAGGGAGGGAGGGAAGGGGAGAGAGAAAGGGAGGGAGGGGGAGAGAGAGGGGGAGGGAAGGGGGAGAGAGAAAGAGAGAGAGAGAGGAGGTTCGGGTGGCAAGCCCTCGTTGAAACTAGAAGGCAGAGCCTCCACGAGACCGCAAAAGTTTGGGGGGAAGCACGAGCCCCCCCATCCCTCCTCCTCCTCCTCCTCCTCCTCCTCCTCCTCCTCCTCCTCCTGCGTTCCTCCTACTCCTCCTCGCCCTTGAAGGGTGTTCATGGCGCCTCGTCGTTCTCCTCCTCCCCTTCCCCCTCCCCCCCCTCCGTAGCCATGTTGCCTCTAAGCCTTCTCCTGAACTGCCAACCTCGCTCAAGCGATTGAGGCGCGTAGTTCAACGACCTTTTGCGACTCACTGGCACGGGGTTCGCGACCCCGACCAGCTTTCGAACCATCAGCACGGTCCTCTCATCGCAGCAACTGTGGCACCCGCGCAGTGGCAGCAGGTCGGCGGCGGCGGCCGCCACAGGGGGCGGGAGCAGCTTCTCGCAGGCCCAGCTCGCCGCGTCGCCCTTCGCGCCGCTCATCCTGGGACCGCTCTCCTTCGGCAGAGGCGCAGCAGCTCGACGGCCCCAGGGCCCCGCCAGCAGCGGGCCGCTGGGCTTGCGCGTCCTGCCCCTGCAAGCGCAAGGATCCCAGCTGCAGCGTGTGCAAGAAGTGCGGCGGCAATCGCGCCGACCCCACGCACGAGTCGCAGGTAACGCAAGTCGGCGTCTGGAAGTATCCTCCGCCAGGTTAGGAGGCAGCTACTGGACTACTGGGAAGTCCTCGTCGGAAGGATTACAAAGGATTAAGCCCCATTGGGGGGCTGCTACGCCAGAGTAGGCCGCGGATTAAGCAGGATTGAGCCGGATCAAGCTGGATTAAGCTGGATTGCGCAGGATTCAGCCGGATGAAGCGGGATTAAGCAGGATTTAAGCCGGATTTCGGACCAGGGCGAAATCAGAATTTCACCTCCCAGGAGTTGTATCCTCCGCCAGGCACGTGGTCGACAGGGAACGCGTCGGGCCCTCGTGCTTCTCGTGGTGCGGGCGGCAAGGGCAACTACCCTTTCGGACTCCACCTTCGACGGGGTGCCTCCAGACCTGCCCACAGAGGACTCGGAGAAGCTCGTCGATACCCTCACTGGCGACACCGTCGGCGCCCAGAAGTACAAAAACACCATCTCGCGTCGGAAGCATACTGTCGCTGAATTACCAGTACAGCAGCAAATCTCCAAGGCATTCCACAAACTCCGAGCCGCTGAAGGCCGCCTCAGTCGCGCTGTCCAACAGTTCGACTCTATGGAAGCCGCCCTTGAAAAGCAACGTGCAGAAATGCAACGCCTCGCTCAGGATCTCACGGACTCGGAAGAACAAAAACACCCATCGCTCGCATACCAACTACACGCCGCTGTCATGCCCGCACCAGTAGCAACAACCCAGCTCGCGCCCAAGCTCTCCATCCGCAGCATTCTCGACGGCACCCTGGAGGACATGCCCATCGAGCTCGGCGACTGCCTCCAGGTCGGGGAACCCGAGGGCATCGAGCTGGGCGCGGAGGACAAGCAGGCCGCCGAGAGCCCCGCCGCTTCGCTCAAGAAGAGTGTGCATGCGCAGACCCGAGCCCTTTTCTCGGCCGCTGCCGCCAGAGTAGAGGCCCTCCAAGCAGACAATCGCGAATGTGTTGTCCGGATGCCCACTAAGAAGCGACGCACCGCAGAAGGTGTGGAGGCCAGGGGGAGGAGCCGAAGGGGCCGGACGCGGCGTCGAGCCAGGGCCACCCCCAGCCTCAGTAGCCAGTGGAGGTTCGTTTGTCGCCCCCCCAGCCGCCGCCGAGGCATCGTCACCACGTGCTGCTGCATCCACTGACCAGTCCCCCCCCCCTGGTCAAGACTTGCGCGCGCGAGCCTCAGCCATTGGCAAGGCAGCGCCAGCAGTACCCAAGTCGCATCTTCAGTCTTAGCTCGCAGGGTCGGCGGTCGTTCGGGGAGGGCGCAGTCGTTTTTTTTTTTGTTGGGGGGGGGGGGCGCTGGCTTCTGTCTCGGCTGGGGCCCGATCCATTCTTGCCCCCGGCTCCATGGGTTCAGGACCTCAGGAGGCCAACATCATTCCATCCACGATCGGCCACAGGCTGAACATGTTCCGCTCCAAGCCTGCACAGCCAACGTCACTAGTTGGGGCTTCGCTGAGCCTTGGAGTCTAGAGCATTGCCGTCCTCGCGTTAGCTGCATCCAGGAAAGAGGTCCCAGAAGGACCGTGGTCAGGCCTCAGCGTGGGCCCCTCGGCACGGGTGGAAATCTGTGCGGGGGCCCGCCTTGAAGGGGATAGCGCTTCCGGGACCAAAGGAGGGGCTGGCGATCCTGGCAAGTAGCTTCCTGGGACTTCACAGCTCGGGACCTCATCATCGCCACGACGGTCGAGCTGTTGGCGCTACCATCCGGATCCCAGGTGGCCCGAGCATAGCGGTCGCCAGCGTCTAACTTAAGCACGGATGCGATCTAGACGACGGCGACACTCAGGTCTTGGCGTGGGCGGGGGAGTTTTGTTCGGCTCCAGGATTGCCGTGGCTCTTGGGAGGGAATGTCGATCTCGAGCCAGCCGTCATCACATCCTCCAGCATCCCCCAGCAATGCCAGGAGACCCTCCCCAGATGCGATCGGGATCAGCACGGCAACGGGAGGCCTGCGCCTGAGAGTCAGGCTGTTCAGCAGCAGAGGCCTCAGCAAAGGCCCCACATCTTCCTCCATTGCAGTCGGGCTGCTGAAAGAAGGAACGATAAACAAGGAACGCCGCCCCTTTTTGGCCCCACAAGCGCCTGCGTGCACGAGGAAGGCTAGAGGAAAAGCCATAAAAGGAAATAAGGAATATCGAGCTCCTTTCTTTTATCCAAACTGTGCCTTATTTCAACGACTTGGCTGTAATGAGGCCGTCGATATCTCTCTCCCCGCTCTCCCGTGGAGCTCACCCTCCGCCCACAGCTCGCGACCCTCCGCGCGACGGCTTCCCAGAAGCCGCCCAAGATCCCCCTCCCCCCCGCCGCCCGATCGGCCCTGCTGAGGAGCCGCCTTCTCACGCTGAGGTGCAGCAGCTGGAGGCTGCGTCGGCAGCTGCTCGAGCAGGCAGAGGAGCGGCCACCCGACAGTTTTTGAATAAAACAATAACAAAAAAAAAGTGTACGGGAAGATGGGCGGGCAGTGCTGAACGGGAACGCGTCACCACGGCTGGAGCCGAGGTCGTGAGACCTGGCACCCGCTGCCGGATGCCGAACACCGCGTGGAAATCCGCCGTCGACGTGGACGTGCAAGCCCCCCCGGTACCATCGGCTGCATGCGTGCGGGCGGTTGCCCCACAAGCTCCAGAGCTTGCCCCAAACGGACACGGTTGGAGACCTGCGGCGGACCCAAGAGGCACGTGCTATAATCCGTTCACTCCCCCACCTGCCGTCGCGATTGGCGAGGGCGACCCTGCAGCCATCGGTGATCAAAGGTTGACGTGCACCGGCGGCAGCTCCGAGCAGACCCGGGGCCAGGACGTGCCGGTGCAGCTCCAGGCCGAGGTCGAGCAGGCGGGAGCATTGGCTCGCACGGCTGCGAGGTCCAGCTGGGCTGGATGGGTCAAGACCGGGATCGGAAAGGGTGCGAGACGAGTCCAGTTGGTCACGTCGGCCACGACGCCCTGGAGTGCTACCACGGTCGTCGCGGACGGCGATTCCACAGTGAGCGATCCGCAGAGCATCCTTCGATCCGAGTCTGAAAAGCTTCAGGCGATCTGGAAAGCCCCGCTGGACCCGCCCAAATTCCCGAGCGACGTTGTTCCTGCGATTGGGCTCTCGACATCTTCTCTCGATGAGCTGAGACGGCTCAGCAAGAAACACGACAAAAGAGACCGCGGTGGGCACAGCCAGATTCCACATGCAACATGTTTCGTGGCTCTGCGACGATGCCCTGCACGGCCATCTTGGTATTCCCCAGGCGCGCGAGATCAGCGGCATCCCCCCCCCAGCTGCGCAGTGCCATCTCCCATCTCCCCCCCCAAACCTGCGTGGGGATGCCTGCCCATTGGCGTTTTCACTGGGCCCGATCGGTTGCCAGGGAGATCGAGGTGGGAAGCGGACCACCCGCGGCCATGGCTCGCGGCTGGGTTATTCATGGGGGGCGGCCGACACTGTCTGGCGGCAGGCTCTCCAATCTCGGAGAGCGGCGTCTCTGCCAAACAGCGCGCGTGCACGCGCTCATGGGATTTTCAGAAGTATTATGCAAGTTTGTGCGCAACCAAGTCGAAGCCCGTTGTGTGAAAAACACTTTCCCTCTGGGCATTGCTCGCTTAGCGTGCTTTGCGCAAAGCGGACCACGGTATGTTTTCCTCCAGGGAGATACATGTATACATATATCTATATGTGTGTATATATATAATGTTCTTGCCGTTTTACGCTCGCTCTGGAGTGCTCGCGGGGTGCCCCTTTGCGAACACGTTCGTCTGAATTAATTCCCTGGACGGCCTCGACAATCTAACTTGGGCTCCCTGTTTGAGCCATAGCTTATACATCGATGATAACGGGTTACATGCGGTGGGGGATTACAAGTCAGTCAAAGAAACTATAATCGGCGACAGCCGTCCACTACATCGGGTGATTTCTGAAGACATAGGTGCCCAACTTGCTGAGGACCAAGCGTTCTGCTCTGCTCCACTAAGAATATCGGCTTAGGCATCCAGGCGGAGACTGGAGCGACCTTCGCAGGCCCGCTCTGCGCAATTGCTGCCAACTTAGGCGTGGACGACACTGTTGGACAGCCTCTCCGACACCGAAGACGGGAAACCAAAGCAAAGCATCGTTAACGGAAAGCGGATGCTCGAGCGAAACTCCTGGGACGCCTTCAGAATACGATCGGGCGCAGAGCCC